CACTACACATCTTGTAGGGGGGATCCTGATCGAATAATTTCTGGTCATAAAATTCACTAAACTGAGGGCGAGACAAATAGTCAGTACTCCCCGATTCCGTCAAGCTGCTTTGAAGTCTGGATGCTCATGTGATGCTAACAAGCTCCCCATCGTTACTTCCAGCAGCTTCACTTTCCCTGCGACAGCAGCTATCAACCTCTCTCTCCATCGTCGACAATTATCACAGATTCAATATTCTACATTTAGCAGCGCTGCACTGGTTGAACATGTCTCGAGACGAATTTAGCGGATCAACAACGCTTTGCTGGAGATAAATTCTCCTCTGGAGGACCTTCAGGGCACCTGGAAGGGTATAGAAGACGGGATTGCTCACGACGTTGAGAGAACATAGAAAACAACCTCCTCTTCGATTGAAAATTGGCCAAAATGTAAGTGAAATGTATGTGCGCAGATGCATTTCCACTGGCAAGCTAATCCCTCATTACGTCATCAGCGCTCGCTCGGCGAAATTCAAAAGTCGTCTTCCTGCTCGACTCGATCGCTTCTGGAGACTCATTCTTGTTCGAGGGATCTTCTCTTTCACCGACCTTCGTCTTGGCATCGAAAACTCGGCGTCGAAAATGAAGCCGGAGTGCCCCTTTAAAGGGGCACTCCGGGAATATTTTCGGTTGTGTGTTCTCTTCATGGGGCCGTATATGGCCCCCAAAAATGGGGAATCGCGAAAACTAGACCCAAAAAGTCGATATATGAAGCCAGGGAGGGCAAAGTTTGTCTCCTCTTTTGATGGTTTTGATGACGTCACGTGTGATTAGTATTCAAATTCCCTGCATTTGTAGATCTTAGTTGTTTGAATTTTCTGGTGATGAAGAACGATGTTTGGTCGATATTCCCAAGCTTGACAACTGCGGACATACTCTAAGGCCCCGGTCACACATGCACTTTTTTTGGCGGTTCCGCCAAAGCGTAAGTTACGCTTCCGCCGTTGCCTCGGCAACGGCGGAGGCGTAAGTTACGCTTTGGCGGAAAGTTTGGATTTCGCTACGCCAAAAAAATGCGAGCGGAGCCTCCGCTTTGGCGGATCCGCTTTGGCGGAACCTGCATGGTGGTGGCTTTGGAGTTTGGTGTGCTACTTCTGCACTGAGTTCTGGTGTTGTTTGGTTGCCGTTTGGTATTCAGTTTTCATATTGTTCTTCTTTGCCAATGAACTGTACGTTCTGGAGATCTCGCAAACAATACTGCATCGTTATGAGTGGATAATTGATGAGGGAATCCGTCTCCCAATTGGCCCCGATCGTCCGCGGTAGTTCCGCTTTCCGCCTCCGCAAAAGCGGTGCAAGCTTTTCATGTGTGACCGCGGCCTTAGGAACCTGAAGGACCTCCTGAGATGCCCCTGGTAGAAGCGCAGCCTGATGAGGGCCAGGAGATGGGAGCCGACGACTTCACTGGTGCGAGTACGAGGATCCCAAAATTCTCTATACCCCGTGAGGCATATGGTCAGAACAGTTTTGTTTCGACAAGCTGACGCGAAGTCAGGGTGATGTGTAACGCATGTCAAAGGGCTGTCAATGCTAACAGCTGCAGCGCTCTCTCAACAGCGAAGGTAATCGACTGCCCTCTGCATTACCCCACATTTCTGGCAGGAACACCAATAGTTATTTCCTGTCGTGACTCTCGACATCATAAGAATCCCGACTCAACGGACATGAAAGACATTTAACGTTTCTTGTTTTGGAAAGTTTGTTTCTTTGTTTCTTTCTCAAACAAGATCAGATTTCAACGGAAAAGGGCAGCTGCATCCACAGGCAGCTGCGCACAAAAAACATGCATAAAAATGGCGACCATGACCTTCATTTTATTATTATTATTATTATTTTAATATGGCAATAAGTAGGACGAACAATTATTGTCTCCTCGTCGAATTATTATTATTATTATTATTAAAATTTCATTTTGAATAGGGCAGTCCCACAGGCCATTTTTTACGTGGCATGGTAACAAAAGGAACTAGTGCAGCGAAAAAACAGAAATGCAGAAGAAGTGAACAACAAGGAGAGCGAATCGCTAAAATGCACTAGCCTACTGTCTGTACAGTCATGGAGTTAGTGGACACGCAGTCACTTGGTCACATACACATACATGTACGTCACACCAAATACGTCATAATGGTCATGCATAACAAAAAAAGAAAGGAAAGGAAAGTCACGCGCGAGAAAAACAAATCAAGAGCGCGAAAATGCTCACGGGACGAAAACATAAGGGAGAATTTGTTTGTGACCAAAATGCAAAGAATAGAGACACGAAGGATTGCTTCGAAGCTACTTCGAAGTGGAATGAAATTAATCACTAGAAAGGACGATGGGGAACTAGACTTCGGCTAACCCAAGCGTGGAATCAGCCACAACGTAAGTAAGCAAGAGAGTACAAAATCATTGTCATGTAATGCAAATATAAATTGGTTATTCCAAATTCATGTACATGTATTTTATCGCAACGTTCGCGGCATTTCCTTGTCGACCAGTGAAGTCGTCCGCTCCAATTTCCTGGCCCTCATCAGCCTGCGCTTCTACCAGGGGCACCTCAGGAGGTCCTTCAGGTTCCTTAGAGTATGGTCGCAGTTGTGAAGCTTGGGAATATCGACCAAACATCGTTCTTCATCACCAGAAAATTCAAACAACTGCAATCTTCAAATGCAAAGAACTTGAATACTAATCACACGTGACGTCATCAAAACCATCAAAATAGGAGACAAACTTGGCCCTCCCTGGCTTCATATATCGACTTTTTGGGTCTAGGTTTCGCGAGTCCCCATTCCTTGGGGGCCATATAGGGCCTCGTGAAGAGAACACACCACCGAAAAAATTCCCGGAGTGCCCCTTTAAATTCAGGCTACCAGTCTTGGAACCCTTGATCTTACATAACGCGACACTCGCAGTTCCAACATATCTTCACACATTCCCTCTACTGGCTGCGTTCAAAGCTCTGCCGTACAAGGGCATCGCACATTCTCCTGGCAGTTGAATACCCTACCTTGTTATATCTGAGACACTCCTTTCTTCCTTTCTTCCCAATCAAACTCGCCATTTCCACTCACACTGGGTGACTGTGCCCCACTAGTTGGGGATTTGTATGCATAATTTCACTAAAAGTGCCATTTCGTTCTTATAAAAGCACGGAAGACCACGATTTGCCCATATGTTGTAGTCTTTTGAACGGTGAGTGGACTGGTGTTGGTCCGAGAAGTCTGAAATGCTTATTCCCAATCGAACATGGTTGAATAAGCGGTCACGTAGCGGGTACTCATGCGTACACCAGTCACCTGGTCAAAGTGCAACTAACTTACAGCCTCTAAATAAACAACACAGGTGGGACACAGCGCCCATACATGACCTATAGGTTGGTTGGTTTTTATTTCACTTCGCATATTCAAACGGGATGACGACCCAATAAAGTGACGGCGAAGGCTTAGCCTAGAAGTGGCTATGGAAGAACATAGTAAAAGCTATGGAAGCACATAGTAAGAGAATAGGATACCAATAACTGTAGTAAACGGGGGGAGAGAGAGAGAAAATACGATGTATCTGTGATACTACGTGAGGATTACTGAACTGCACGGGGAGGGAGAGCAGAGCGATCAGCAGCAACTCGACCTATAGAAAGCATGGATCACTGTTCTAGGCTGTTTATGTTGACACTGAGGCTGATAAGGGTGAGCATTCACCTTTGCAGCTTGCTGAGGCGAGACGGCGGACTGGGAGCATCAACCGACCAGCATGTATCAGTAATCCATCAGAATACGGACAGACGCTTTTGTAATTAGTTAGAAGCCTGCTGGTGTCGGGTCATCGGGTGTTGGGGGGGGGGGGCTGAGAAGCTGATGTACGGTGCAATCTTGAAAAGGACATGCTGTTAGTGTTAGAGGTAATGAAGTTGGCTGCAATGGAGACTTTGAAAGGCGTTGTAGCAATGGTCTCAGCAACTAAATAGCCATCAATCCATCCGGGGTTGGAGGGGGAGAGGAGTATGTGAGAGAGATGGGATAACAGGTTCTGGTGAGAAAGAGAATCAATAAATTTAACCGTCAAGTTGCTCCCCACAGCGAGGTTTGCACCACCGGTCTGCAGTTGATCGCAGGAGCAAGCATCATCGCATGATGATGGAGGCATGTGAAGGGTTGTTTCAACAGCACAGGTACACATAATCACTCCGTCTGGAAAAGCATAAGCTTTCTCCTGTACCAACAAGAGAGTATGGCCCAGAATGCTACGTATGGTCACACCTGCTGGCACAGGGTGAGCTAATGTTGTGATTCTAGTCTGGGTTGGAAACAACTGACAACAGCTCGCGCTCGCAGGGATATGGACAGTTAGACATGGATGCAAGGGTGCAAGGGTCACTAATGAGGTAGCCATTGACTTTGTATAATAGGAAACAGTGCGACACACTTTAAATACCTCTGGAAGGGTCTACTGCTAGCACCCGTACTGATTCGCTATTGCTGATAGTGTGCAGCCATTCAGAGTATCCAGCAGGTCTGCTACCACAAGACTACTAGTATGGCGGAAACCGAAGAAGACCACCAGCACCGCCAGATGGTTCATGATGTTAATGTTGACAATGCTCTCCACTTTGTAACGTTATCTGAGGATACAGTGTGACACATTTTCCAAAGCTCTGGCAGAGTCTACTGCTACCATCAGGACTGCTACGTTACTGATGATAGTGCACATCCATTCAGAAGATGCAGCAGGTCTACAACCACAAGACTACTAGTGTGGCTGAAATCAAAGAGGAGCAGCTCCACCAGGTGGTTCATAATGCTAATGTTGACAATGCTCTCCGTGACTTGAGGTATTGAGCCTACTCGTACATGTACGTGTGCAATGCACATCAGTTCTGCAGTGCGGGGACACCAGCCAAAACAAAATCTGGATATCTACCATCATGATTATGGGCTTTACTGGAAGAGCGGGTACAAGATCATTTCCTCAACAGTATTTGCGTCAGATTGATATTGTCGTCGTGGTGAAAAGTCTGTATTTGAAGCGGCTCCAAAGGCACCGTTTGTTGAGCAGACTAACCACCACGAGCATTTTCTAGATAAGCGCCTGAGCGCTGATCGAAGGCCGCTTTGAAAATGAACTTGCCGCAAACTACTCACCTCTATATATCGGTTTCATTGTTGTTGGCGGTCTCGTTCACAAGTGTTTTCTCCAGGACCACCCTTACACAAGACCGCTCCAGTACTAGAAATGAAACAGGTGAGAGCACTAACATGCCGATGTTAGTTTTCGCCGAATGCCCCCAACAGCATTTTGCCTGTGGACTGGTGGGACAGAGATACACTCTTAGTTACTACAAACTAATAAACTCTTGGTAAACTCTTGGTAAACTCTTGCTTTCCCTTCGGTGGGGTCATTATTTGAATGGTTTTAAATTACAGTTTCAGTGTTTGTGGCTGAAAGAAATAACATTCGTTTGTTGTCCAATTGTTTTCAATGTGTGTTCAATAGGTGTGGAGAAGTCTTGTATGGCACGAGTTCTTCATCTTCTACCATCTACAGCTCTTCGCCTTAGCATACAGGACACAGAGACACTGCTAGCAAATCTACGTCAACCCATTGATCAGCTCGACTACGCCAACGCTGACACCGCATCCCTATCTGCTTTACTAGGTGGACGGCAGAATGCTGAAATGCTGGTACTGTGTCTGAGTGAGTCTACTGATCTACTACGCATATACTGTACTTCTAATGAACTTATGACAAACATACAAGTCTATGTTTGTGACTTTACACACACGTAACCCTGGTCTCTAACTCTTCGGGAATTTCTAGATACACGTACTTGTATGTGAAAACTTGTCTCAGTAACTCATCAGCCAATATTTTACCTGGCCCACCTGTACCGAGTCTGGCCTTACACAAACCTCAGAGTACATGACTGATTGTGTAGGCTTGAGCAATTTTGGTCTCCGTTGCATTGCCCAGGTTATATAAACGTTCAGCACCAGGGAAAAGAGCTTTATTGGTAGCGAGTACCATAACATGCTTTGCATTCAATTGATAATACTCGTCATCAATTTTTGGAAAGATTAAAATAAATTGCTGACGTATATATCAATATTAAAATAGTCTTCGAATTCTGTTGTATTGGATTTGATACCACAAATTGGTACCTCAATCATTTTAGCATTAAGGAGCGCTCTTGCTGGCTGATTTTTGTAAGAGAGTTCTAATACTTTATCCACCCACCTTTTGTTTTTAATTTTACTATTGTCTTATGCAGGTGGGCAGCTTGAGCAATGTCGCCAAAGTCCCCCGTGCAGCAATGCAGGAAAATGCATTTTCAGCGGTTCTCGACAAGGGAGAGGCTCGTCGTACATTTGCAACTGCAATGATGGTCATTCTGGAACGTATTGTCAGACCGGTAATATTTTAGTGTATTAGTGATACGTAGTGTTACGCCAAAATAAAGGATTCTTCATCTCAAACGCTCAAACACGGTTTCTTTGCTGCATACGGTATACGACTATACGTCACTTGAAATGTTCAACATTGTTTTGGGCCCGTCCCATCAATAGGGTCAAACAGAAAAATGTTTTGGTGGAACTGATGAATTTTAATGTAATTAACGCAATTAAAGAAAACCTTACTTTGTCTAACATTTACTGAGTACCAGAGGTTTACCTAAATTCCTGATAAATTTGAAGTATCCATTAGTTCATGGTGTTGAAAAGAGAACAGTGTGAAGAAATGATTGACTGCCACCACCAGACCTAAACCCATTCCGGAGCTATTGTGTAGCTTAGGGTCCAGCGGATTCGGCTCCGAAAATGTTCGTATAATGCTAACCATAATGCTCCAAAAACTGCCGAATAATGCTGATTATAATGCTTCAGCAAGGGATATAATGCTCTTGGTTTCGGACAAAATTGGAAGAAAGTCTGCACATTGTCAAACTTCCAGGAAATAATGCATATCGTCGATCTCCATCTGAAGTTGCCACCTTATCTCTGACGAGCTCCACTACTTCTTAGCACTATAAGACATGATTCTTTCTCCATTGATTGCTCTCCATTCCAACTTTGATGCAGGGTTGTGGCAGAATAGTCGGTGTATCAAATCCCTCCCCTAATTATCCATGTAGTGAGAGATGAAACCATTATTGCAGGTAGTCATTCATTGTTGGGATGAAGTTAATCTTGGAAAATAGTATTCCTGCCTGCAGACAAGCTGTCACTGCATCCATTATGTGAATAATGTCTTCATCTGAAACACCAGACGTGAGGCCAGCTCCTGAGATCCAATCTCAGATGGAGAGCCCTCCCATTTGCGGAAATCCTGAAAACACGTGGTCAGAAGTTATTTTGCCACTCTACATCCTTTACTTGTGCTCTCATCTTCTCCTTGAGATGGTGTGTATACGTATGGCTTGCCACAATACTCTTCCTTTCTGATAGCATTTGACTGTAGGCCTGGCATTACAACCGTTCACAACTAACTGTACGTGCTTCATCAGGAAAGTAAGACAGGCGCTGCTGAGCAATCGACTTGGTACTGAGTCCATGAGAAATTCTAGTTCTTTTCGAGCCTCCTGAGCTGGACTTGGCAAAGGCAGTTCTTTTGGAACGAGCTCTTTCTGTTTATAGCCGTTCCTTCATCCTGGTCCAAATTTGACAATGCATCAGTGTCTACTTCAGTATCGCTAGAGATGCTATCGCCAGAGCCTCTGGCACAACTAGAAAGCTCTTCTTGGTCTGTTTGATACTAGTTCACTTCGCGTTTGTCTCCTCCATAGCTCTCCATTATTCTAAAAGTCAAAGAAACCTCGTAAAAAAATTCTCCGCATTTGTGTAACTTGAACTGCCTCAGCCTCGGTTGGGCATGCTTCACAAATGGCTAGTACATGTATACATGTACCTGACCACATGGCTACAATCATAACGTTTTGATGTAGCAATAGTTATGTAGCGTTAGTGCTAAAGGTGTTACGTGTCTACACAATCACAAAGTCATGCGCCGGTACAATGCATAGTGCTCAAATGCCCGGAATGGGCGGAGCGTAGTCCGCAAGAGGTACACAAAAGGAGACAAATAGGGCTGTTTCGTTGTTACTCAGAGTTTCATGGCAAAAACCAATCATCAGACAACATCTCATGATCATAAGTGTAGCCGATTGTTGCCAAAAACCTGGGATTTCCCGATATTATCCACTATGAAACTCGTTATGCCGCTCAAACCTCACATAATGCTCGTTTTGTTCCTTTCTAATGCTCTATAATGCTCTGATGCTCGGATAGTCGTATAATGCCGAATATAATGCCGGCATTATCCGCTGGACCCTAGTGTAGCTGCCATCTCATCAGATTTTGACAAACATGAATTATTACTGACTCTTGAGACTTCAGAACTCCAGCTTCCAGTGACTCTACACAGGCTGGTGGGAAGCAGCCACAATAACTTTTTTGACATTGTGTGTTTCCAGAATCCTCTTGCTCTTTTACTTGCCTTTTCTACCGCACAGTTCTACCATCTTGCGCTGGAAATCCATGTCAGAATGGGGCAACATGTCAACAAAGAGGGTCATCATTCCATTGTCACTGTCCTCCACTGTATACTGGACACCATTGTGAAAAAGTGAGATCCATAACTAAGGAGAGAAACATTGAAAATATAACGGTCGTTCTCAAGTTATGAAGTAGTATTTTTTAACACGTGACACTCACTGTACCAAGATTTCAAAAGAATGTATTATACTTTTGCCAGTACGTAAATGTATATGCCTCCCTACTGGGATTCATCGATATCATGATAGGTAAGTATTAGTAGGCCACTTCCTCAACCAAGGTATCAGTTTTTGTTCTCTTGTCAAACATAAAAGCCAAATTCACGAAGAGAATAGTTTCAGAGAATTTTTAGGTGCCCATGGGGCGCATTTGGAGGAGGTGGATTTGCTTCATAGAATATTCGGGGCCTGAGATATACTAATTCGTGGTAGTAACCTTTCAACTACATCAGCAACGTCATCCTTTCCAGCTGTGGCATATACTGATTTGCAGGACAGACTGAAGCAGAATTTGAATTTTCATCACAATGTTCACCTTCAACAGGATATAACTTTCGCCTCCTCCGCTCAATTTCCATAATCTAAGACTCGTTGGTAAGCTCTGGTTTTAAAAGCGTAATACTCTATTCGCCTACTTCCTCCGGAAACAAAAATTTCGTGACTTTTTCATTGGTTTTCGCTGCTGCTATTTCGCGCCTCTCTCTCTCTCTGCTTCTGTCAGCCTGAAACACTGACATGACATTTCGGGATCGTAGGAAAGCATGATTCATCTTCTGGAGAGCCGACAGTCGTCGTAAAGCAAGGGTGTCGACGCTGAAAACAAAGCAAAGCGATCATGTTATTCATTTTTGTCCACCAGGGCCGGGCACCTGGAGCAATGCGAAGAAAAGCACTACGCTCACTGCTCATCGTTGCTATTTTTTCTTTCCGAACTTGACACAGCAGGTCAATGGCACCGAGGAGCAAGAAGAGTGGAAAATGAATAGCAATAGCAGCTAGCGTTTTGAAATCTTCGCCATCCCCGAAACGCCTGCCAGCATGTGAACAGGCCGGCAAGATGTCAAAACTCCAAAATGCAGAGATGTGACAATCGTCACTTCGCGCAGCAGAGCAAGGTGAACAAGTTCAAAATAGAAGTCGTTCAGCTACTGCTGAGCCCAGACCTCAACGTGGATGATCTTGCAATTTCCACCAGGATCCACGATGTGTCCTTGGTCGCAAGGGAGAACAGACGAGATCTGATCGCCGCAGTCGGGAAGTGCTGGTACGACTATGATGTCCCTAGGAGAAATTTGAAATGCTTGGCTTTTCTTGTGTTTGTTGTTCCGGGGCATCCTCGGGCGAGAGTGGAGGCGGTAACGAGTACCAGCGCTGCAGCGCCACCGTGCTCTCCAATAAGTGTTGGAGAAGGCATTCAGGTAACAGCGAAGACGATCAGGGACGCGGAGAAGCTGCTCTGTGGCATACGATAACGCGTCGATCGCCCTGCCACTGCGAACGGTTTCAGGGGTGATGAGTCGAGCGATGGCGACCCAGACAGAGACTCTAGTCCCATGAATCGATCCTGTAGATATTGTAGATATGTCGATTGAGTGTGTTGAAGTGTTTCTCTTCCAAAAGAACACTTTTGTTGAGCACAGTAACTCCTTGAAAAGTCATGTAAAAAGGTCGCGAAGTTTGTTTCCGGAGGAAGTTGATCCCTGCCTAAGCGCTTATGTGAGACCGAATATTACGGGTGACAGTGGTGTCAGTACTGGGGTTACTAATGTAGTGTACTTGACAGCTTCCTCCTATAGATTGTAATCGGTACTCCCTGATTACTAGTCAAATGACGAAACACAATGTTCTACCATCCATGTGTGTGTTGATACCTTAGAGTGGCTGGATGCAAGAACGTTCCGAAAGTACGCAAACACAGTGCATCAAATCAGTGACCAGATGAAGAACCTGGAGCGAGGGATAGACGCAGCGAGACATGAGGACGTCAGTCGGATCGAAACCTTTCTCCAGAGACTTGAGCAAAAAGTCATGACTAAGTTCAATTCCACTTTGACTCAGCTCTCATCTGAAGTTGTAGCACCGGTAAGCACAGTACATACATATACATGTACATATACTCATATAGTCATGTGTGCAGTCATATGCAGTTATGTTTATCGTCATTTGCAGCATAGCGCATGTCTACATATTTGTTGTACATTAGCAAAATGTTGTTTATCACTGAGAAAGGACGAGGCAAGTACAAGTTGTCCGGTAATAACCTTCCTGAAGGCACAGATACTGAATAATTACCCTGTACTCAAGTAGTTTGGACAGCATGCCCTTACATTAGCGTAGCTGTCATCCCAGCAGAAACAGTTCAACCTTGTTTTTAAGACTTGGATACTCACGCTTCCTGTGAAACTAAACAGAATGGTAGGACGCAGCCCTCACTGTACACACACTTTTGCCTTTTCATGTAGAATCACCGCCTGGATGAAGGCCAAGGAAATCAAGAAGGTAGCAAGTAATGTATTGATGCTTACTTTTAAGGAATAAGCACGTTTAAAAATGCTTTAACCTGATAAATATTTTGTACGTGCACACAGAGGAAAATGCTTTTGTTGAAAATGTGAATCTGCACGTGTCAGGTATGATAACACAGAACAGGCATAATATTATGTACTTTGGACTAATTTGAAAAAGGCACTTGTGAGTTTTTGGCCAGAAAGCGACCATCAAACACTATTTTGATCTCAATCTACTTCTAGTGATCTTGAATCGGAGAGAAACTCAGACTCATAACAAACAGATTCTTCCAATAAGACCAAAGCATTTGCTCTTCGTGCTCATGGTGCTCACACTGCTGCCCTTACCCGTAGTCAGGTGCTTGCCGCGCTTGTTTAATCCTCTGCTCGCATACGCTATGGTTTCAGTGCAATTTATTACATAGACGCTGAACCATGGAATGCACTGCCACCTGCTGACCCCCTTTCTAATTCACCTGCTGAATTTCGATCATCCATCAAGACGTTCTTAGGGTTCCTGTAAAAAGGCGAAGACGCCTAGCGCCTGTTGGGAATTCCCTAGTAAATAAATAACAAAGTAAATAAATAAAAAGCATTCCGACCCAGTGAAATTATCAAAGCTCCCTTTCTCCTTTCAAAAATCTAAAATCTGTTAGGGTTTGTGCAGTACTTGAATGGTTTCATTTCATGCCTATGCGTTTAAAGACGTAAAACGGTCTTACTTCATTTCCACTGTTATGGCCTGTTCAACCCCTATTACTGATACTCTTGTTTGAACTGACCTACTGGTCGAAGATCAGTTGCCCTTTCAAGTGTTGATTTCCACTTATTTACTAATGCCTGGCCTTTGCTTACTTCCAAGTACACGTAGTTGGATGGGCAGATAAATACACGAACCGAGGTGAGTATGTAAGTACATGTACATGAATGCATGTTGGGTTTCAAAAGGGTTGCAGCATGTTTGGAAAGCAGGTCATGGTATCTTTTGAGTCATTAATGTTCCCCTCATCCTTCCACTGTGTTTATCCTGCAGCAAATGCGTCGTGTGAACGAACTAACCACGGGCAATCAGGATTGTTCACTGGTACAACAACGACTACGACATTCACTGCATACTGTGACCGAGAGACTGATGGAGGTGGCTGGATTGTGTTTCAGAGAAGACAGGATGGCTCAGTGGACTTTTACCGTGACTGGAATGCATACAAACGAGGATTCGGATCAGCGTCTGGAGAGTTCTGGCTGGGTCTAGATACACTACACTATCTGACGTCACAAGCTGGTAGTACTTATGAACTGCGTATTGATATGGTGTTCAAGACAACTGCAGAGAAGCATTATGCCAAGTGGTCAACATTCCGTGTTGAAGGTGAAGCTAACAATTACAGACTACATGTTTCAGGATTCTCAAGCCCTACCTTGGTGGACAGCATGAGAACCCACAATGGACAACAGTTCAGTACTCGAGACCGTGACCATGACTCTTCCCATGGAGGAGACTGTTCCAATCTGTACAAGGGTAGTTGGTGGTATAGAAACTGTTACGATGTCAATGTCAATGGATTGTATGGACGTAGTGATGGAGACAACACTGGTGTAGTGTACTTTCAAAACGGGTCCAAGAGTTTGAAGTTTGTGGAAATGAAGTTAAGAAAGCGTGGATAAAACCCAATGCACTACTAGATTCACTACACACAATGTGCTCATTTGCATCCAAATGCAACATTCTACACTTTTAAACGTCTTAACTAGATTCCTCTTTTCATGGTGGCTTTTCTCTATCCTTGAAAATATGTATACCGCATTCCACCCATAAATGTCTTTTGCAGGAGAGTCAGCCTGCCATTCGATTCTTAATCACCGGTTTCCAAAAAGGCAGTAATGCTTTCGTTTAACATAATATTGATACACACATGCACTAAGGGAGTGTTTACCATTTCAGGGCATTGCGCGCATCCTCATAACCAGCTTCTCCGCCACCATAGAACACATTGATCTCCTAGGAGCGCTTTCGTTTTATAATTTTTATCAGCGAGCCATCGTGGTAACAAGAATACAATCATTTTTTCTTATATACTGGACTTTTCCTGTCTACTACAATCACCCGCATTCTCTCACTAGCCATCTGAACATTAACCATCTAGCGCTATACACTTTACCAGCTGTTTTCTATGTTGTTTTACATCACTAATTGCTTAAACCAGACACACTGTTTTTGTTACTCACGAGCAAAAGCTGAAGTTCAATTGAGGGGTAGTCACACTATCCAAAATGTCTGTAACATGCATAGTAGCTACCATCTGTTTCATGTCGTCTTAATATCTTTTAATTCCCGTAGCTATGCAGAAGACGTTACTTCAGTAACGTCTGGCGCTAGCCAGGGTCCACACAGCTTTAATTTGGTGTTTGTTTGTGTGTTTGTTTGTGTCACGCCTGGCGCTATCCCGTATCTGTCCCGTACTGTACCGTACCAGCAAAGACAGCTGGCCACAATATTTTTGTTTGTTTGTGCCATCGACATGCCTGGCGCTATCCCGTACCTGTACCGTACCATCAAGAGTACGGTACCATCAAGAGAATGAGTATATATGCGAAGTGTATCGGGGGAATGCATTCAGTGCAGTAACATTTTGTGTGGATTTGTGTGCGAGGCCGAGATCCCACTAGCAGGCTGGCTGGGCCGCCTGTCTACCAGCCCGGGAATCGCATGTAGGCGGATAGCATAATAATTATAACGTTTATACAGTCATGTAGATGTATAGCAGGGAGTCATAATTATTATGTAAACGACTCCCTGCTGGTGGGGGGAGATTTTCTGGAAAGAAATACGAAGTAGGGAGACGAGTAAATGCAATCAGAATGGATGTTAGTTGCCGTCAGTATAATAATAAGAAGAAGATAAACGCCCGTGATCGGCAGAGTCAGCGCCGGTCCCAGGAAACGTCAGGACAGACATCCCGTCGACTCCAGAACACCCGTGATCGGCAGAGTCAGCGCCGGTCCCATAGCTATGCAGAAGACGTTACTTCAGTATCTCATTGAAACGTTTTTGCAATACAATGCATGATGTAGCTAATCAAAGGAAAAAGCATTTCCATCAGTTCTAACAACATGCACGAGGAGCTAGGCAACAAAGCATAGCGCAGGGCCCTGAGCTTCCAAGCTCTCTCGTTCCCGTAGCTATGCAGAAGACGGTACTTCAGTAATGTCTGGCGCTAGCCAGGGTCCACACAGCTTTAATTTGGCATTTGTTTGTGTGTTTGTGTCACGCCTGGAGCTATCCCGTATCTGTCCCGTATCTGTGTGTACAAAGGCTCTACAGGAATTTTTTTACGGAAATTGCCAAGTCTCTTGTACGGGCAAAATAGACACCAGTGCAAGGTCAACAGCTTAGCACCGAGAGAAAATGAGCTGAAATGGCTGTGAAAACAGTCTTGTACGGAGGAAGCTACAATGGCTGTGAAAATAGTCCAATAAGGAGGAAGCTAAACTGGCTGTGAAGACATTCTAATGCCTAGGAAGGCGAGCCTCAGCCTGGACGAGGTCGACAGGCACAAGGTTGACGTGACGGCGGCGAACGGTGCATGATCCTCGAGCGCACCGGATCGCAGACCTAGCAAGAGAGAAAGACAAGCAGCAGCGCATCCAGCAGACGACTTTGCTGTAGCTCTCCTTGCGCTTAGAAGCCAGAGCATCAGCAATCCGCTTGACGACGATGTTTGCCTCTGGACCCATTCCGCCGCAAGAGGAGAAGACCAGTGGTGTGAACGAGCCATGTTCAACTTGGTTAACTCTTTCGCCATACTCCCGCTTCTTGGCACCTTCCAACTTGCGATAGATAGATGCAATGGGCTGGGACCGATAGCTCGCTGCGTGGGGATAGAACAGACTCGTATCGAAAAATGCATTGCGGCTATGGCCCCGCACCCGGATGTCCGCTCGCGCATCGGGCTCAACGTTGGCAGTACGATAGCGAAAGGTTTCACTGGTGATGGGTTGGAGTGTCGGCTCAACTTCCACATCGTTGTGGATCTCTTTCATGCATGAGGCTAGGAAATTGGTGACCTCATCATGGCGCATGTGAATGAAGCCCGACAGTTTACATATCTGGGCATGGTCCACAGTGAACCGCTCTCCACAGGGACAGGTATCCGGCAGCCTATCCAAGGGCCAGCCATAGCGCAGGTGGACATGATCATGGAAATCGGCTTTCGCGTCGAAGCACAGCCAATGTTCCGATACAGGGATGGACGCGAGCGTACTAGAGTTGGAGTGGCGGCAGCCTGCTCTGCACCTCATTAGCTCTGGTTGTTGCGGATGCTCGGTTACGCTGGTGAACAACTGCCTTTTGCTCTCGGTCGTGCGCAACACTATCCATGACATCAGCGTCCGGTTCGTTCTTCACAATCTGCTCTGCGAGGTGCGCTGTGCATTGCAGTGAGTCCGCATGCTTGCGTTCTGCTTCGGCCATTGGATCATCAAAGGACATACCTGCTAACCGAGTCGGAAGCTTGACCAAATCCATCTCCACATCATTCAGCTGATGCTTCATCAAAGCAGGGATCAGTTTGCTGTCGATGGCCTCCTTCAGGGGGTGCAAGTGGTCCCGGGCTATCGGCATCGTGCGCTGGATGAACGGCCATCGATGGCGTAGCCCGAAGACATATCCAGCGTACGCGGCATGCGGTTGAGTGGCAGCAAGATCGGAGAGACGGGTCACCTCTCCGGCCCATGCTGTAGCCTTCTCATTCAGGTAGGCAGCGATGTAGTCCGTAGACCCGACAGCAGCTCCAAGATGACGTTGACCGGCCTTGTGGGCCAAGTTTTCGCCCTCTTCCGACAGCTGGATGCCAGTGCCTCCAAGCACCCTCTCTGCTTCTGCTCTGCTCTCTGGTTTTACAACGAGGTGAGTTTTTGATGGCTTCGGAGAGTATCCATAGGCCGGTCCGTGTTGCACAAGCAGATCCCAGAACTGTTGTAGCGCCTTCAACTTCCCGCCTGCTGCTGCATCATCAGCAAACCAAACTTGGATTGCTCTGATTAGCTCTGATACATCTTGGGTCGTTCCCATTGCTTCAGGAACTTAACAATTTGATTCATCTTGGGCACCCTGTAAGAAGACCTTAGGGTCTGTTGGGAATGCCCAAGTAAAATAATAAAATACAATACAAAAAAAAGAAGCTCTACAGGATTGTACATAACAGCTGGCCACAATATTTGCTGGCTCCCGTATCTGTCCCGTACCGTACCATCAAACACAGCTGGCCACAATATTCGTCGTATTATGTATACGACTCCCTGATGTAGAGGGAGATTTGGAAAAAAATAGGGAGACGAGGAGAAAATGAGAATGGACGTTAGCTGCCGAATAGGTGATAGGATGCGTCAGCAAAAACATACTTTGGAAGAGAGATCCCGTCGTCTCCAATATAAGCTCGACGGGTGATTCAGCGCCGGTCACAGGAAACGTCGGGAGAGAGATCCCGTCGACTCCAGAACGCCCGTGATCGGCAGAGTCAGCGCCGGTCCCAGGAAACATCAGGACAGACATCCCGTCGACTCGAGAACGCCCGTGATCGGCAGAGTCAGCGCTGGTCCCAGGAAACGTCAGGACAGACATTCCGTCGACTGCAGAACGCCCGTGATCGGCAGTGTCAGCGCCTGTCACAGGAAACTTCGGACGACACAAATGCCAGAAATGAGCATAGGAGGCTTAATCGTGCTGATTCGCGTCGTGCTACTGCAGCTGTGCACATGGAAACTGTGCGGTCTATGGTAGAGGGAAAAATTATGCAATGGTGTCCTCTTTGACGCGTGAAGAGCGCCAGCAGTATAGCCACCTATACAATGATGTGGCCAATCAACGGGAAAAAAACATTTCCATCAGTTCTATTAAAATGTACGATGAGCTAGGCAAGAAAGCATAAAAGCATAGCGTAGGGCCCTGAGCTTCCAAGCTCTCTCGTTTGAATTATGTGTGGCTCCTGCTTTTATTACTTAAAATACACAACGGTAAGATAGAACCTACTGTAGAGAAATCGAGTGGTTTAGTAACATATTTAATGCGTTGCTAGAACTGCGGAGGCAAAATGTATAGCCTGTGCTGGTGAGGTAACATGACCATCATGTAAACAAGGAAAAGATTACGAGGCAGTCAGAGTCTTTTTAGGGATGTTTTTCATCTCATGCATGTATACGACCATTGCACCACTACTGAATTGCTCGCAGTCCACTGTTCTATGGACTTATAGCATGCACTATTGTTTCCCATACTTGCCTCCCTCCTCCTTAAATTCAGGCTGCCAGTCCTGGAACACTTGATCTCACATAACGCGACACTCGCATTTCCAACATAATTTATGAAGATATTATCTTCATACATTCCCTCTACTGACTAGGTTCAAAGCTCTGCCGTACAAGGGCATCGCACATTCTCCAGGCAGTGGAGTACCCTAGCTGATCATGTCACTCTGTAATGCCATGTCATTCCATGAATTGAGCATTCTGTGGGCTGTCGTTCGTATAACTATATTTCAGTAAAGTTTGGGGTGGGATACTATGGCTAGCTGCTAACTGGTCACGCCCACGCTGCATAGCAGACGCCTTTTTACAACGTTGCTCGTTACTGCAAATTGGGAAACAACTCAGCATTTCGAACACTATGCTTGCTGTGATAACGGACCAAATGGGTCACACCACTGAGTTGAAATTTAGCATAATTTGCGCAAGCTGGCATCAAATACTAGCACAGATTCCACTTCGTAATGCTTTGTGTCAATATCACTAAAGACATGCACTAAGTGTTCGCTGGTTTGTTCCTTCTTGCAAGTACTAATTTTCACTTGACCAGATACACACGCATTTCTACATTCTCATCTAACTATAGAGATAGACTCTCAGTAAGAGATGAAGAAGTGAATGTTTGACAGGTCATTACATGCGTCTTCACCACCAAGTTCATTGACACCACACAAATGCATTCATCTCCTTGCCGGGCACAGGCATGATTTAAAAAACTTTATAAACACTAAGAATAGATCGTAACAGAGGGCGAGTGGGGACTCAACGACGTAACCTGCGCTTGTCAGGTGCCCTCACCATCATGTTATTGCTGGGCACAGGTACGAGTCATCCAGAGTCTTCTCATCAAATGAACGTAATTTTTTTGCAGTAGATCAGTGTGTTGCCAGAAGGCATCGGAGTGTATTGGGGTGTTTTGGATGCT